AACACAAGACCATCAGCAGAGGCAAGAAGCGCAAGAATCCTGAGCCAAAGCACCTTAGAGACACAAAGATTTCCTTCATTCTAGCCTTGGCACCATTTTCATTCTTTCTACTTTGCACCTTGTTCCCGTGCTTACTTTTCCTAAATGTAATCTTCATGAGGCACAGGGAATCACCGTCCCTCCTGACTGTCAGTCTTTTTGAGGCAAGAGGACATGCCTCTAAAACGGAAGAAGAAGCGTGGCCTGAACATCCAGCAATTGTGCCGTATCAAATTTGGCTCTGGACTTGGGAACTTGAAAGTATGCAGGTTGCGCAAGGTAGCATCGGAGCAAAAGTGGCACAGTCTTAGTGAATCTCAGCAGCGCAAAATGTATGGACTGACCGATGACATGAAGCAAGCTTTGGGCCTCAGCGGTACAGTGAAGGGCTGGAAAGCTTTGTCACATGATGATGCTCGGGATGTGATCTCCAAGAAGTCCAAGCTGCAGCGATGGAACATTCCTGGAGAGGTTCTTAAGGACTTGGTCAGATGACAAATATCGTTTTTTCTCCATGTAAGTAGTGTGAACTATATGCCTGCATGACATGGGACCTTGCTGCTACATTAATGATCATTTGTTCTTCAGGAGTTGGATGCGGCCATTCAAGAGCATTGCGAAGGGCTTTCCAAAGTGTGTCAGAGAAGGGACATTGCTCTCCAACGCCACATTGCACGGGACTTAGGTAGCAAATGCCACACTCAGGAATCAAGTTTATTTTAAATCACTTTATGGATCTTTATGGTATGTCTTGGTAGTGGTGATGGTGGTGAGGGACCCACACGCATACACTACACCCACAACCACACACGGGTCCTATGTCATGCGCTCAAGAGGGTGGAGGGTCGGGGTCGGTGTGTCAAGGTTGTGACAGCAAACCGGCTAGCAACAGAGTACAATGCTGGATTGCCTAGTGCAATAGAGCGAGCGGAGCGTCACAATGAAGTCACCACGTCAGAGCTTCTTTCAATTGGAGCACCGCGAGAAACGATAAGAAAATGCATGCTTCCGATACCAAAAGAGTGCCCGACTTTGACATCCAGATGGTGCCGCCGATTTCTCAAGCTTTTCTATTGGCGCCGGAAGTCACTGAACACTGGCGGGACCTACCTTGAGTTTCACGACCCCCGCCTTGTTGCGTCAAGGAACCTGCTCCAATCACGGATTTCCCAAGGAGTTGACAAGCGTTTAATTTTGAACGTTGACCAGATCTGGCGACAATCTTTGAGATTTGCAAAGACTTCTTTGATGCGCAAGGTCAATCGATACTCACTTGGAAGCACACCGGCAAGTTTTTGTTTCACTTCTTTCCGGGTAATTAGTTTTGCTTCACTTTGGGGCCTCAGGTCCTTTGTCATCACAGTCCAAGGAGAGAAGCAACATGGCGGCTTGGTCAGCCGCCACGATGTGGTGCCCGGTCATCGTGCTAGTTTGACAGTGATGACAAGCAGTTGGGCAGACGGCTCAGCAGGCCCACTAGGCATTTGCTATCCGCAGGGGGCCTTCAAGCAAAGTGAAGTCTCACGTTTCAACAGCAAGCACAAAGGAGTAGCGCTGCTATTCTGTTCAGAGAAGCGCACACACTTCATGTGTGCTGAGACCTTCGTTGTGCTCCTTCAGGATCTTTACACCCACGCGTATGCTGCCCAACGGGAGAAATATGGCATCAGCATCTCAACTCCAGGAATGCTGCTCGCGGATGCATGGTCGGGTTACGGCGCGAAAGGAACAGGACAAGATGCGCCACGGGCTGCGTGGAGCTCCCTCTGCAATGTGTTGATGCCGGACCCCCAACCCGGGGGTTGGTCGGCGTGCAACCAGCCAGTAGACCAACTGCATCACATCCTGCGGGGGCGGCTCGACCTAGTCGACTGTGGAGAAGCAGGATTCTGTGCTGACATCAGAAGCCGCAAGAGGTACCAGGACATGCCCATAAAACCGACTGGGCAACCAGGCCATCCTGCTGTGAACACCGCATCGCTGGCAGAGAGGACTCTGTTGGCATGGAAGAGTGTGTAGGGACCTCATTTATAGGGTAAGAGTCCCTTGTCATACTGTCGTTTGCTGTTCTGAGTCATTTGAAGGAATGCTTCAGCATTGAATGTTGTCCAAGGCCTCAAAAGGTCTTTGCTGCATCGTGGCTGGCATGTGGGTACTTTGAGACTATGGATGATTTCCCAGAGCTGAACCCCCAGAATGCAGTTCAAGAACTCGACCCAACAGGGATGCTACAGGCTTGCGGGGTGGCAAATGATGTGATCCAAGTACCAAGCGTGGACAAGTTGCATTGGGCAGTGGTCTTGGAAAATGGCTCCTATGCTTTGTTGCCAAGTGCAATTTCCACCGGTGTCGAGCGTGTTGTTGCCCAACACCGGCGTGATCGCAACTGGCACGGATTGATGAAATGATTTTTCTATTTTGCTGTGTGTGTGTGAGGTAGGGCCGTAGAGCCATGACAAAGGACTGTAAATGGGTTCATGCGATCAAAAGCAGTTGCCAGGAAAAGTGCTTTTTGAGCGAAAGCCAAGCAGCTGGGAAGACAAGCTTCGACAGATTAACAATCGTGAGTTGCAGGTCATTTACAACAAGAGGACGCATCAACTTGCCACTGAAAAGCAGGCAAAAGCCAAAGGAAAGCATCTTGAGGAATTGACCGTCACTATGAAAGTGCTAGATGAGAGCAACCCGGCTGGTCAGGTCACCTATTTCATCAGTGGGGCCAGCTATCCAAAGAAGGCTTTGCGCTACATCTCCACCAAGGAGAACCCCAACGGCTTGGATCTACTCAAAGATGCATACCATGCAGGTTGGTGGCGCACACATGCTCATGTTGACAAAAGCCAAACAAACACAAACACCATGACATGGGACTTGGTACCCTCGCCGTAGCACTGTTTTCCGCTTATCTCCGACAGGTTCTGGGTCACTGGTGGGTAGACCCAATCACTGGTCTTGGTCTCGAATGCCAGGCGATGAAGGCGATGAAGAAGAAGAGATGGACATAGAAAAGACGGATGAAGAAGAAGAGGGTCAGGAATTGCAGGCGCCAAAAGGAGTGGAGCCTGCGCATCTAGATGACAGAGGAGGACAGGAACGAGAGGAGGACTCGGACTCAAACAACGATGACATGGGTTCAAACAACAGCAGCGGAGTTAGCGAGGCCGGCAGTGAGGAGGACCAAATATGTGAATCAATAGAAGAGACAGAGGAGCAAAAAGCAGCGGAAGAACAGAAAGCAGCAGAGCAACTCTCAGGACGCCCAAAGCAATACCACTTGAGTGAGGAGTGGCAAGAATTGGAAAAGCTTTCTGAACAAGATAGCTTCCCATATACAGCTTTGCCAGTCTTGATTGGATTGGGCATTGCCCGCCATCCCAGCGGCAACTTTTGGTCAGCTCGCTTTCCGGGCGAGCCGTGGCACACGTGCAGGTGGAATGAATCTAGGACTCCCTTTGCTTGTTTACTAAAAATCTTACGGCATGTTCTCAAAGTGTACATCCAAACAGCACCGCCAGATGCACCCAAATGGCAAGTTCATTTGGAAAAGCTTACCAAGCTGAAGCAAGAGTGATCTCCGATGAACGGCTGATATGTAAGCAGTGGCAGTTTTGATCCTTTTTGGATTTTGATGTTGAGGGTCCCATGTCATGTTGCCAGAGATCACCCACCTTCCGCATCTGTCTTCCAATCTTCTAACGACACAGGGTTTGGGGCCCAACCACTTCTCTTGTGAAACGCTAAGTGTTGATTCCATGGTCGAGATTGTCATCTACATTTGTTGTTCGAGAAATGTCCATAGTGAAGAGCTGTTGGTGCGATGTGGAGACCAGAAGTGGTTGGTTGCAAGTCCTATGTCATCCACATGTGTCCAGACGGCATCCCAGCAATTTTGCACTCATTCCAAGAATTGATCAAACCTTAAGCTTAAAGTTTAAGCCTGTTTCTTTCTATTGTTCATTTCCTTTCGCCACAGTAATAATTATGTCATTGGTGTCCCGTCTGATGTTTCCTCCCCCGAATTGGCCAACATGGCCCCCTTTGAAAATGGGGGCAGGCTGAACCGCCGGAAGCCAAGCACGGCGCTGCATGTTACATACCTAGCGAGTGCCATCTAGAAGAAAGAGATGCTGACATCACCCGAGTGCTACTTCACTTCTTTTTCTTGTGAGTGCCATATTCACACCAGGCTTTGCAAAATTGCTACCATTTGCTACCCAACTCCCACGTCATGTGGGTCTTCACTCTGTTTTGCCAATTTTTTGGCAATGGTAACTATTCCTTTGTCATGTGCACATTCCTCCATTTCCCATTGTCCAGGTACCATGTCATCCCGGTTTGTATTTTCAAAAACTGTTTGGGAGGGTCCCATGTCATTTGCACAGAGTATACTAGTAGCAAGGTACATCGCTACTAGTAGCATAGGCATTACTACTAGTAACAAGAAGCCACTATTGGCGATTTCAAGATGTCACAGTAGATTTCAGCTATGGCCAATGCCCTTGTTACTAGTAGCTTATTGCTACTAGTAGCGATGCACTTGTTATACTAGTAGACATGCACTTGTTATGTTACAAGTGCATTCTCAAAGTCTACTCAATTGAAACAACGCTGAGAATCATTGAGAGAGGCAAACTACACAGACACAATCTGCCAACTTAGTGGACCTGCTTTGTGATCTTAGTGTTGTGTGTCAATATCAATTTGCTCATAAAGCAATGATTGAGAATTTACATACATTTCGCCAGTTTCTATGTACCTCTGAGCAATTGATTAAAGATCCAATCATGTTTTTCACTGCACAGCAGTGTATATGTTCAATCATTGGTGGACCTTCATAAATCCTCTTGAATGTGACTTCGTTTCAATGTCATCGTTTTGTACGCAAAAAAAAGAAACATAACGCAGCTTCCAGCGGTTTCTCGTGAAGAACTGGTGTCCATCTTCGACACGCGACGGTGCTCCTCCTTGCCAGCGACCGAATCCTGGCCACAAGCGCGAACCAAGTCGACGTTTTACACGTTGATCCAAGAGCCGGGCAGCCGGGCGACCGGTTTGCGGGTTGCCACAAGATTGTGGGTGCGGTGTCCTTTATGATCTTTATTTATATATACGTTATATATCATATAGTTACTTCTCTTGGCCATAGCCAAAATCATCCAACTGAGGATCCACAAGCAAATGCAAACATGACCAATTTCTGAGTGTGTTTTCCGGAAGCACTCGAACGCGGTAGCAAAAAGGTGGAGTCTCGCTCATCCTCCGAGGGGGAACAACGGTTGACGACAACGCGCCTCTATGAACTTGTGCCGACAACGCGCTAGCCTGGCACTGGAAACACATGGAAACACAACGACGTCGACAAATGTTTGATGCCGAACAAGACGAAGATCCTGAAACTATTTGACAGCCAACGCGGAAAACAAGCAAGAGAGCAGGACAATTGGCTGACTCGTGCAATGATGTACCGCATCCCAACAAAACATATACAAACAATTTCTGTCACCAACCACCAACTCGCTGTCAAAGGAAACGGCTGGCAAGTCAGCCAGCATTGCTTCAACAAGGTCTTGCGGGTCCTTGGCATAAGGAGCAAACATGTGGTAGACAAGCCATGACGTACAATAAGTTGACGCGGGAAGAAACACAACATGCTGACTCCGACTCTTAATTCCACAGGATGCACTGCATCATAGTGAAAGGGTATACTTTGATTCTCCCCGTGGTTTCGGCGCAAAGAACAGTATAGTATAGCTTGTCACAGCTTGTCTACGAAGTCCATACCTGCTCATATCCCCCAGTGCACACCGCCAAAGTGGTACGCACTTTGTGGCAACCTCTGATGATCAGTGTCTACCACTAACAAAAGAATCAAACCTGGCGTCGTCCCGGCTGTCGTCCCTGGCGGATTCTGAGCTGGCAGTCTGCTGGCCAAGCGTTGAGCCGCCTAGCACTAGGAAAGCTGCGAAAGCTGCAATTGGGACACTTGGGAGAACTCTTTTAGGACAGCCGTGGCACCGTATAACAACATGTCCACGGGCACAAGTAGATTACTGCTTCAAAAAACAAAAGCAAAGACATGTCACTCGAGTCTAAAATTCAAAATAAAACAGTGGATTTTCTGGGAAAGGCTGCCTGTACCACAATGATTCATGCTTGTGGATGCAATCAAAAGAGCCACTTTCCCAGATTCCTTGACGCCCAGCTGTTCTCCTTTTAAGCAAACCCATCCATTTTTGTCGTTTTCAGAAACACCTGCTTAGTCCCTGTACGGATCTGACCATGCCTGGGTCAATTGCTGGAGCTCTGCACCGGCATCCACCTTGACATCGGGGTGGGGGGATCAAGCAGCAATCGGTGAGGAAGGCTGTAATTCACTGTAATGGGTCCAAGGGGTTCATATGTTTTGCAATTCCTCAATAGGATTGCATGGAATCTGGAGAGCCCGTAGACCGGTAAGATGCTGAATGCGTGCTATTATGCCGTTTCAACAATGCACAGCTCCTTACATGCTTAGGGTCAATTGAAGCCGCAATGGATACAGTAGCCCGCCTCTACACCAGGAGGGCAAGCTACGAAGGAAGGGAAATCCTGGTGTCAACAGCGAATAAGTCTTCTATTCTCAAGCTTCCGTAGCAAAGAACTTTTCATCTCACCTGCCACTGGCCACTGGACCTGCAGTGGTAATAGTACAACTATTGTCGCTCAGGACTGGCACGATGTGTGCAAGTGCCGCATGACTGGCGACAGCAAAAAAGTTACCATGAGAGCATGCCGTGCATTGAAGTCCAAAAAACATCTTCCAGCAAAAACCGAAGCCTATCAAAGCCTCCATCCACTATGCGAAGGTTTGCGCCAGTGTTTTTTGGGTGCTGGGAGGTTTATTCACTATAAAGGCACCTACACACCAGCCCACGCATAGCAGTGCATAGCCTACACCATGCAGAAGGTTGCCTACGCGGGCCCACGCAGGGATGCTACGCGAGCAAATGCCAAATGGCGAGAATAAAAACTGCCAACTGTTATTGCCTTCTGTTTCTACTCAAAAGCTGAAGCGGTCCGGAAAGTGACGGTGAGCTCGACTCTGAGAGTCAAGTCAAACACGAAGAACAAAGCTCTTTTGCAATGGACGGCAGCGACAACCTACTGTTACCTGCCACTCACACCACCAAGGCACTTGGGCCTTAACCAGGGTGGGGTCTGCGGGCTACTACTGGTTTAACATGAGCTCATGTTCCTACACACAGGCCTACGCATGGCCTACGCAACAAATTGCCTTTTGCAAGTCAAGGAGCAGCTGATCAGTTGGAATTCCGTTCACTGCACTGCACTGTCCATGACATTGGATTGTCTCAAATGACATGTGAACTAGTCCAGAAGCATGGCTGGATTTGAGAGCAGCACCTGCAGCTTTCAACTTGCTCTCTGTGTGTATGGTGCATGGGCCTAGACCCACTTACTAGCTACCCAACATGTTTGGACAAGGTCTTCTCAACAACATGCACTCCAAAAACAACCTACACAACAACCCTACGCAAGCCTAATTACGCCAACCCACCAGCATCAGGAAAGCTGTGCACGCGTCGTTGAAGGAGTTCCCTCTTCATCTTCTTTCCATCATCTCAAAAAAAACTGAAAATCACACAGATATACACAGATCCCAAAAATGTCCTACAGAAAATGCCGCTTCCAGCGGTTGTTGCAACGGTCTCTTGATTCCTCTGGGCAGTCCTTGATGTGTGCGATGGAGTTGAGGAGAAAGCAAATCTGCACACAAGCACCACTAGCCCACAGAAGACAACACTTCAGCAGTGGACTGGTGCGTTTTGAATGGACTCTCCACTGTCTACCAACAAGAAAAAAGGGGCGCCATCATGAAGCTCTCCATTCTTTTTGCGTCCACAAAGGCACCTCCATGCTATATCTCATGTGGCAGTTGATGGAAGTAAACTGCACGGGCGTCCCTGAATACCTTGGACAATACGATGAATGCAAACAAAAACATCAAAAGGACGAAACACGTCATAACAAGGAAGTGACGTCTGCCGTTTAAACTTCACCAAGAAAATTTAATAAAATTTACCTGATGCACTGATGCACAATATCCAGCCCCGAAGGAGGACGGTTGACATTCACGTGCTCACCTCTTCTGATTGAGTGTCCCACGCTTCCGCCACATGGGTATAGACAGGCACCTCGAGTAGCCATTTCCTGTCTAAAGGTGTACTATATATATATATAGTTATAAGATGTTATAAGCACTTGTTCGACCTGGAAATTACTCAGCTTGATCATGCTTGCTCCAACCTTAACGTTAGCTGGATCTGAAATGTTGACGGCTCATGCCGACTCGTGAGGAGCCTCCATGACTCTCTTCCTGAGGCCCGGGCCGCATACCAACAATGTGGACCTGGTCTTCGTTCGCGAAAACGGTTATTTTTTGGCTTCGGCCTTTGGCCAAAATTTGCTTCGAAATGCTTTGCATATCGCAAAACAACCAAGACATCCAACAGGTGTAGTCGTAGATCTCCAAAATGGTCCATTTGGATCGCCCTGACGTTGCGAAGTCGACGACGACGATGGTACGATGTTTTGTCAACTTCACCCTGCAAAAACAGGGCAACGCAGCCAGCTTTGTCAGAACAAACACAAACAATGCACAGTGCATCTAGAAACGATGCAATCTTCGTTCAGTTATGTTGAGTTCTTATACTGGTATGCCTGTCTCTCTTTTTTGAGAAGGTCACTGAAAAGAACCATTCCACCCATTGAGGCCTTTCTCCTTGGCATTGAGTCTCTGAAGGAAGGTATCCCCTACATCCACATCAACCTGGACGCAGAGAAACATGCTGAACGAGACTATGGAGGTGAAACCGTGCATGCAGACATACTAGCGATGGCCTCCACCCTAGTAGCGATGGCCTCCAACCAAAGAGCGGAAAGACAATTAAGAGCGAAAAATGCAAAAACACTATCAAACACGTGGTCTCTGTTGTTGTTGTTGCCCGACTTCACTCACTCTCCACAATGTCTTGCTGTCTCTTGGGTGCTCTGGGATTGTATCCTGTAGCCCTAGCCGCTGAATTTGCAAACTCTTGGTTCAGATACAACATTGAAGAGTTGTTGCAATCAAGGACGCCCTCGCGCAGCCCCACATAAAAACATGTTGACATGTGCACCCTTCCTGAAACTCGGGGGAGCAGTACGTCACGTGCAAAAACTAGTCAATCGCAATCAAATGTATGTCTATGAGAGCAATGCAGTGGATGCAATGCAGGCAGTTCCATGGGTCCGCTATATATCGTAGAGAAAACAACATGCAACGCATAAACACACACCACACGCACAAATTCAACAAAAGGCAGTATGAAGCAAACAAAGAACTGGTCACCCTGAGGCCAAGGAAATGTGTTGCATGAACATTGAAAGTTCCTGGGCAACCCGGCGGGTGAGTCCGATGGGTAAAGGGACCTGGCCACTCGAGAATACACCACTAGGATCCACTAGGATCTTGAAGGATCCAAATCGTCAACGCTTTCCCCTAAAAATCCTGCAAGACACTTGTGTTACCTTACACGGTCGATTTCCCCCCCTCCAAAGCAATTGGCATAAAATCAAAAGCGGGTGATAATCGACATGGACTTCTTAAATCCGCCGTGGCCGCTGATCCATAGATGTTATAAGACCCCGTAAGAAGAAAAGCCTTTCCCCTGAAGCAGTCCCATGTGGAATCGAAGATGAGCAAGCAACGAAGTCACAAGGCAATCGCGTTACATGATGCAGCGGAAACAAAACAATTGAACATGGTTGAACTATGCTGAACACATCTGAACAGCCAACCAAACGATGATTCAACAAATTCAATGGACCTTATGGATTTGCAACCCAACCAGGCAGTCGTGTGCCAGTCCTCTGTGCTCTTGAATGAGGACTTTCGAACTATAGAGTATAAAAAAGCCAGAAGCAGCACTGGTCGTCGCACATTCCGCATATCCGGCGAAGCTTTGGAGTACACAAGCACGCGATCCAAAGTGTGTGCAATTTTGAGACACCCCACTTCACAAGGATCCATGGATTTATTTCCAGCATGAACTTAAAAGAAAAATAATCACCAATCATTTACCAATCGAACTTGCTGCTCCTCAGTGAATCGAAATCTGTTGTAACATTCAAACCTCTTTCACGACGCAAGGATCCTTGTTTTGACCCTGACCCGCTTGCTCATCCGCATGCTCACGCTGAGACATCGGCAAGGTCTGTTTGGTCAGGAGGCTCTTCACCGGAACCCTGTACCTGCCAAATACGCTATTAGTACGGAGGCCATCGGTAGGTTGCAGGCCATCGCTATGATTCACACTCAAATAGAGACACTGGGGCAAGCCCTGAGCTCACTGAGCCAACTTAAACATATCTCAAAACATGGAGATACTGCAGGTGTTCAGAGCTGTGGACCCCGTAGTCTCGCTGTGATGTGTCTCGTGACGCTCAAAGATGGTCTGGTGTGAACAAGAGTTGGATGCGGTTCTGCCTGCCTTGGTGGTTCCGGGCTCCAAGGCCTGCCAAAGAACAACATTGAATATTTGGGTGTTGGCTTACTAAGAGGACCGACGAGACAAGTCAATGAATGAGGTCGACAAACAAACTACTGCATTTCACTATTCTGGTCCTCCTTTTCTGACTCTATAGATTAAAAGCTCTGGTGGATCCACGAACATTCGTGGAGTAAAGCCCTGCGAGCCGTGCAACCAGTTGTGGTCGCACGGTAAAATATAAACCTTTAAAGACTAATTGATACTCATGGGATTTCATGGATGCCCTCAGTCTGCTTCTCTTATGTCTTTTTGGGACGTCAAGACATGAGCACGGACATGGGCAATAGAATTCATTATCCTGGATGTGCTAAGAGAAAAAAATTGCCAACAATTTTGCCTGAAAAATATGTTGTTTGCCCGTGTTCTAGTGTCTAGACATTCACGAGACATGGGAATAAACAAATCAATTGGGTATGTTGAAGAGGGGCTTGCCGCAAGTGGTTGTACACAGGAGACTGTGAAGGTCAGAACCAATATATTTGTTGCAAACAAGAAAAACACAAACACGTGTATAATCGTGTATATATATAGTTATATATATGTTCTTTTTGCCCGGCGGGGTAGGCCGCTAGAGGTAGGGAGCTAGTAGCTTAAGTAGCTACTACTTAGGCGGCGGGGGAAGCTTCCTTGAAGAAGCGCTCGCACTAATGATCTGGCTCCTACTGTAGATTGAAGGTTTGACCACCACAAGCCACAAGCACAACCTCTTGCGGTAAGATGCAGTAAAACAACCTTTCAGTGGTCAGAATCATTCTGTGCTTCAAAACGATATTCAGCAGTATCATGCAATTGAAGCAGTGTATCCTGCCACAGGATGTACATTCGTAGGCACCAGCTTCTTGCGTACCCCTTCCTACTTGCAAAGAATCCTTTGCACACATGCAAGCATTTTCTCGCTACTAGGAGCAAGAAGCTACTAGGGGCTCCTGGCATCGCTACTAGGAGCAAGGACGCTACTAGGGGCTCCTGGCATCGCTACTGGGAGCAAGGACGCTACTAGGGGCTCCTGGCCTTACTACTGGGAACAAGGACGCTACCAAATTATCCCTGGGAGCCCGGCAGCTGTGGAAGCTCTTCATCTGCGGCCAAGAGAATGGGCAGTGCTGGCCATGCCTCGCCATGATTTTTTAATGGGAACAAGTTCTTGATCTTCAAGGGTGCTTAACGTGCTTCAGGGAAGCTTCTTTAGGTTGGAGGCCATCGCTACTAGGTTGGAGGCCATTGCTATTAGGCTGCGCAACGGTTCTGGGGATGGTTTTTGTGCAGGTTGCGGTGATGGTGTGCGGGTCACAAGTCTTCGGCTGGTTTCATGGAAACGCAGTTTCATTGTTTAATGGAACGGAATGGATGCGAATTGTAAGGGAAGGGCTGCCTCAGTGCAGAAGGGGCTGACGCTGTCGTTGGGGGATGTGATGAAGCACAGAAAACTAGAGAATTCTATAAACAGGTACAACAAGTAGATATCTTCGGAGAACAATACCGAAAAACATAGGCGCGCAAAGGAAAGCACTGAAAAGAACACTAATGACTCCATAGAAAGGTGTAGAAAGGTAAGGGTTTATGGCAGCTGGAGAAAAGTGCGGATGTGTCGAGATTCGGAGACAAACAATAGCAGAAAAGAACATATTTCATTATATTTCCAGAGGCACACAAAGAAAAGCCAACTGTTTCATATGAAGCCTCAAAAAGGTGTCTTGAGAGAAAGTGCAGTAGATTGTGAAAACAATGTCTTCTCGAAACATGTACCAGTTGAAAAGTGCAAAAAAGTCGAAAAGAAAAAGACAAAGGCTTCTAGATTCTAGAGGAAAGGGATAAGAACTAGATGTCTGAAGACCAAGTGCAAACAAACATGAACACACACTGTTTTGTTAGAGGGAATTATCAAACGTAAGGGCCTGTAGTGAAAAACATGAAACACACTTCGAACTTCGAACTTGGATTTTTTCAGTTAATGCAAGTAACACGTTGGGAAGGAAGGTGATGGAACAGCAAGGCGAAAAGGTCCAAAGACTTGAATTGTTGAAAAAAGTTTCACTCGCACAAGCGGCTGACTGTAACTCTCCGGTGGCTGAGGACTGCAGTGGGAAACCTGTTTGAGGGGAGAGTATCGTGATCAAACAACCATGGCATCAAAACACAGCAAGGAAGAGTGGAGTAGTGTCACGGCGCAGGTACGTCATCAGGCGTCCCTGATGATATCCTAGGAGCACGTGAGGAGCTTCGTTGGATGGAGCCCCACGTGTCCTCTCCATCCCCCTGCTTGCGAAAGGTGGTGGTGGAAAACCCTTTGTCCAGGGGTGGACACACACACACACACATATATATATACAGTATACAAGAATTCTAGAGAAAAGTGCAAGACTGTGGATTTAGAGGTTCCTATATACTATAGACAAGCACAAAAATGCGGAGATTTCTACAGGAAGGCCAGGGAAAGAAAGGCAAATGTGTTTTCCACAGAGAAAAATAGCCAAAACGTAAAATAAGTAACAAAGACCTCAAAGGAAATTAGAGAAAGTACAAATCGAACACAGGAAAGTGAAGACGTCATGAGAAGAGCGCAAAATGTAGTGTGTAGAGCTTCTATAGGCAAACACAGAACAGTAGTAGAGATTTTGGACATTTCTAGAGAAGGGTATCAAAGCAGCGGCTTCTCCGGAAAAGTAGCGAAAGGTAGAGGTGTGCAAATTTGCGGAGACAGGCAAGCAATGACTAGTATAAACAAGTAAATAGACAAACCAAAAACTCCACAGCTGGATTTTAACAAAAGACCTCCTGAGCAGGTCCGCAATACATTCACCAACTGTTGTTGGTCAATGTTATCACCTGAGTCTGTGAATTTCCAAGCCCTGGGCTGTGGCGGAAAACAAAGCATTCAAATCTCTGATCACCAGCAAATGCTTTTAGTGTGCCACCGGCCACCGGCAACATCCAGCATAGACAGGCCACTAGGGCGCTGGCTGAGTTATCACAAGCCCCAAACTCATGCCACATAGTCTTCCGCTTCAAAACTGTTCCAAAGGCTCAGGGTGTGTCCGTTTTGAAAACTGGAACCCCGCCGCTACAGCTCGTGCAATATTTCTACGAGGTAAATGAGTCGTCACACATGTTTACAGAAGTTTGAGCTTTGTTTTGGAGTTCTGTGTGTTGTGTGCTTTGATACTTCCGTCTTTTGTTTGGACTTAAATTCGATCAAATTTGTAGTAGTGCTGGCATACAATCATTTGTTTCTTCCCAAACTTGAAGCCTCACACAATCTCTCATGCTGTGGCTTAGCCGGTGGACAAAGCTGGCTTAGCCGGTGCCGAGCGGCCCAAGCCAGGCGAATCATGTGGCGGGCCGAGATCGAGGCCCTGGGCATCCACGGTCGATACGAGACGACGAGGCATCTCATGGCGTCTCTTTTGAGAAGTGGCTGTGGATCAAAACCGGGACACCCTGGTTGAACAGAATAGACTACGAGGTGGGTCGCTAGGTGGGTTCCTACCAGGGATTAAGGGGTCCCGACTGGGATCCCGGTTACTTGATCAGCATTGGCCGCCATTGGCCCCATGGCCATGCCATGACAATGGAAGTGGGCTTGCTTTCACAGGTGCAAAAGCATTAACTCTGGAGCATTGACTTCCACCTTATCGAACACTTATTTGCTACTGTCTGCACGAAAGCAACGCCTCAAAACGTCACGAAATTCATAAACAAACCTGTAGTGACACGTTTTCAAAACCAGGTCCAGCGGCAGAGCTCGCAGCAGGTCTTCAGCAGCTAACGCACTTTCACAAGGCTAGCTCTGGATGTTGCAATATTGATGTGCATCTAGTAATTGTGTTTATGGATTGCGGCCGGACTGCTTGCTGTTCTGCCTCCAATCCTGCCGACAGAGATTAGCTTTGCATTAACTTGTCTCGTAAATGTGAAGACTAAAGTACAAGCATGTACAAGCAATGCGTTATTAATGTGTTCACGCAAATAAAATCTAGCGACGACAAATTTGGAATTGCGAGCCCCTTGAGAATTTTGGGTGCGGACAATTATCTAGCAGTTGATATATCCATATCAGCATAATATATAGTTGATGTTGCAATGCATTTCATGCCTTGGTTGCTTCTCCAGTGTTCTCTTGAGCCATGAGTTCAGCATTGTTGCAGTACTCATCGACAGTGACGCCAGCCAAAGTCTTTTCTCTGTCTTCAGCTGAACAATAGCAATTTCACAAATATCGAGAAATCCAATTGATGTCAACAACGTGGATGCTGATTAGTGATTCAGTCTGCACAGTCGTGCACAGTATCTCGTGGTTTACTCCATTTTCATTGATGCAGTTGCTTTCTCGTACAGTATAGGGGCTGGGGTGTCCCCACAAGCAATCCGGAAATGGCACAGGTTGCACACCAGGGCTTCCCTGGGTGAGAACCCCTTTCAGCTTGGATGTTCTACAAAAAACCAGGAGAACCCGGTGCTGAAAACGCACAGGGCAGCGCGTGGGGCGCATGCTCGAGCGCATCATCTGTTTCAACAACCATGAGCCAGGGATGGCCCCCCCGCAAGTGCTAGAGGAATGATTCCTTGCCCCCTGACGTTTCAATGGATGTGTGGCGGAAGAGGCCGCCTAGAAAGAACAGTCCATGCTATTTTCGGAAGCAATGGCTGCCTAGGGCCTAGGGACCCATGGGCGCACGGCGCGCGCACCCCTCGGTGATTTGCGATCCGGCGACCACCATGGGTTCAACCTCCTTCTATTCTGCACTACCCAGATCAAGATTGTTTATAGTTACTTGTTTTTATCCATAATATTCCATAATTATCATCATAGCTAGTTTGTTCCTTTCAAATTTGCTGTGAGTTGTTGTTAAAAATCACAGAGTTTTCACTCTCCAACACCAATGTCAAGGTTCACCGGCCCCTTGTATCCGAATAGGTGCTGACACGGGCAGTGAAAATTTTGACCGAGTATTGGTGGATAGTAGAGTTTGGCAATCCTTCGTGGAAGAGCAAATCGTGTTCTTTTGACTTGTAGCTTGCTCATGCATGACAAGCTCTTTGCACATTGAGACGGACATCCAGCAGACCGGCAGATAAGCTGCAATGCACAGGCCAGATGAACCTGGATCTAACCAACCGTATCCAACCAATCCTGATCTCTACTTGAGCACGAGATCCTCAAAATCCCCCAAATCCTCCCAAATCAGTGTGCGGCTGCGACTTTTGAAACTATCGCAGCTTTGACAGGCAAGTGAGATGTCCTGGTGTATGTCATGATGCATTGCCCGTATGGTGCAGGCTCTCTAAATATAGTAACTATAGCAACTGGTTAAGTTCTTAAGTATCATTTCCCAGTGAAAAGAACCACCTGCATGTTCTGCATGTCAACAAGGAGCTGTAGATGGTTTTTGGATTTAACCATTTGGTGTGCAAGTTAGTTCTTTGAGGGCGAAAAGGAAATGGACCTCAGCGGAGATCGAAGTCGACTGATGCACCCCAAGCCGGCTGCGGCACGATTGGCGGCTATGTATGCCAACAAGGATCGAGGCAAATTGAAAGTGGTACGACTGTATGAGTCTGTATGACAGTTTTATAGAATTAAAAATGCCACCAAGTTGGTAAGCCAAGGCTCTTGTAACAAAATTGCTGTCTGTTTTTCAGCGAGAGCTATTGGGGGCTCTCACTTCAAGCAAAGGAAGCAGTGCTTGTGCGCGTTTTGGAGCCTGGGTGCTGCTGCCGTTGCAGGGCGCCACTCCAGGGCACTGCTGCGAGATGTCCACGGCCGTGTACGCTTTGGAGCTTGGGTGCTGGTGCCGCTGCAGCGTCCCGCGGCTGCCCACTAATATAGTTTAGCTATTTTTTGGGGGGGTCTATTCTGGCGTGATTCCCTAAACTGGTTACGCGTGAGGTGTTCTTACTTCTGGGAAAGGTTTCTTACTCCTATCTTGCTCAATCGATTCTCTTCAGGCTGTTCAGGAGCGGTGGGACCCGATTCTTTTCCAACATATTCTGCAATGCCTGCACGTATTTACTCCAAAAGAATCTGCGTGTGAATTGACATATGGAATATTTAAATAAGATTCCTATAGATTCCTGCATACCTGGTAGTTCAACCCCACCCTATTAGGTTGAAGGATGTTGGAGGCCATCGCTCTTCAATCTGTGACGTGGCAATCCCGTTGCTGAAGATCATCCCATTTCAAAGACTTGGTTTGAGCAAAGAACAAATTCATCATTAAAACATTAAGTAGCTTCAATGTGAATGTATCATATACTCTACAATCCTCCAACATTCAATAAAGAATCTGACCCCACCCCAGACATACCCTGACCCTACCCCTTGCACAAAAAGAATCCCAAAAAATGAATCCACCAAAAAAGATTCCGGGAACTAGTTGGTACCCAAGATTCTTTTCTTAAGGTACCCCCCATGCGGTGGGCTGTCTCCACTTGTTCTGGGTTGCTTGAGTCACCTCTCTTGCAACTTGGGAATCTGGGGGAATGCACAATAACACAGGTAGTCAACTTTAAGACAGCTGAAGACAAAACCATTCAACAACGAACAAAGGAGGGTACGGTTATAGTTATTAGATCTAATCTGATCGACCTTCATTATATTGGCACCGCATTGCCCTTCATCCACACACAGGAAGAGCGACTTGCTTCTGCGTCTTGGGACAGCGGAAGGAAAAAGGAAGAGTTGCGCGCTCTGCAACAAGAGCTGCAAGGGGTTTGCCCCATATGTGCCTTGTGCATTCTGCTTTGGCACCAGGAGTGTTCACAGGCCGTTCTGGATCACAATCTAGTCAGCATTGGATCACTCTACGTTTTGGCTTCTCTTCACCAATGTAGTTGGACAGAGTCAAGTTCCTCTCCAGCAGCTCCCACAATGGCCGCGCTCAGTTCTTTTCACCAGCAATGCTTCATCGTCTTCATCGTCGTCCGGGCCGCTTCAAATTGTGAAAACCAGGACTGGACTGAAGAAGCTTGGGAAATGATTGGTAGGTGGGCCAGTTGGTTAAATAGCATAGATTTAGGATTTTAAATTTGATCACAAGGAGTCAAGTCAATGTTTTTTCCACTCTTTCACTTGTCAAATCCTGACCAGTCCCATGTCGTTGTTTGGATTCAACGGCAAGCCACCTCGAAATATCACGGGCCGTGTTCTATTGCTGTTATTACTGACCACTCATCTGGCCCCAATTATCTCCTCCTTTAAAGGGGCACACACACACACACATCTAGGAAGAGATGGGTTGGGAATCAACATGCTATTCAAGGACATGCTGCTGCCGCTTGTGCCAACGATTGCTGAATTACTTCAAGGGGCCAGCTTCTCAGACCTAGCCGTGGGTGCAGAAAGACAGGAATCAATGTTTGAATTAGCAGCCTTGGACAATTTGTCAGCCAATTTGACGTCTAGTGATGCTCGAGAGTCTGAGAAGACTGTTGAAAATATCTAAACCAAGGATTGGTCAAGTGAGTTCCACTCCCCTTCCTGACCCTGAATAAAACATGGCCTGTCGGACTCTCATGGTTTCATGGACAGTCTTTATAAGTTCCTTTTGAGACAGCCCGGAACTATGAGGCCGGAGACTGCTGAGAGTGCCTCCGCCTCTTCTCCAGCTCGCCTGGCAGAACATGCTTTGGGCGCAATCGGTCAGTCTGAAGTGGTTTTGAAGTTGTGAAGCAGTTTAGATGTTTCTGTGACCCTAAGTTGAAATTCTAGGGGGAAGCAGCGTTTCTCAACTAGGCGTCTCAATGTTCGGCTCAAGACAATTTTGGGACTACAGCGCAGGGAGTGTTTTTGCATTGTTACTCTTTCATTGGCCTCATGGCGCTGAACCCTTTCAATAGCGATCGATGATGAAAATGGGAGTCATGATGGTGAGAGAGCCGCAAAGTGGTCAGCAGGATAATGGAGCCAGCGTCGTCAAATGACACGCCGGCAACGTCAAAACCATTGTCAGCGGAGGCACGGGTATCACTTGCCTACGCAAAAATCACCTCACTTGCGTATCCGCAGCGACTCACTTGCTCACACAGGCATGTTGCTGCATTGGAGTGGCACCTTCCTCATCTAACCTTTAAGCTCGGGTGGCTCACAAGAGGTCTGCTATCTTAGAATTGCAGTTTCCTAAAAATTTTACCCTCGGGTGGCTCACAAAATCTCACAAAAGACACCTTTCTCATCTAAATGTTCAGTCAATTATTTTTCCCTCGGGTAGCTCGCAAAAGGTCTGCACCGTTGGAATGACACCTTCGTCTTCAAAATGTTACTCTCCGGGTGGCTTACAAAAGTTCCGTGCCATTGGAATGGCATCTTCTTCATTAACTCTTAACCCTCGAGCGGCTCACAAGAAGTCTGCGCTGTTGGATTGCCACCTTCTTCCTCTAAATCCTAAAGTCGAGTCGTTCACAAAAGGTATGCGCCGTTGGAATGGCACCTTCCTCTAAATTCTACCGCCGGGTGGCTCACAACATCTTTGAATGTTCATCAAAATTTTGCCCTCGGGTCTATATTTTGCCCTCGGGCGGCTCGCAAAAGGTCTGCACTGGTTGAGTGCGATTCTCCAGAATTTGGGACCTACTGGCTTCAGCCGTTTATTGAAAAAAAAGGATCCTGTTTTGCCGATTGCTTTTTCGTAAGGGATGGGTTGCATGAGAGCGACTGTGTTGAGTCCCTTCTGTTTGAAGCGTGAGCTGATGCTTTAGTTAGTTTTGGTTTATCGTTTACTAAGGAAGGGAACAGGCCAGTCTGGGTTCAACCCAGTGCAAATTGTTTCCGCTTCAGCAAGTTGTTTTTCCCCCTTCAGAACCTGGGTTTGGTGTTTTACTGGGATTGTTCAAGTATGTTTAAGTCGTCTCCTCGCCAGGTGTGATGGAACCGCCTTACGGTCGATGTCGGGAACCCTTGCACTAAGGCCTTTGTCGGCCGTGTGCCAACCTCATGTCTCCCAGATAACACAAGTATTGCCGTCTATCCGCATTTAGGGGCTCCAAACAGCGCCCGGCAGGGTGGAGTAACAACAGCTGTTTGTCCATCCGCGGCTCCCTGCCATCTTCCCCAAACAACCGGAAACAGCCCATCTTTGGCTTTCGCCACCGGCACTTGGTTGTCCTCACTGGCTATTTGGTTTCTGGATTTTTCGACAAACGGCACCTTGCTTCTCTGTGGCTCACAAAAGGTCTGCACCGTTGGAATGATTGGCACCTTCTCCTCTAAATTTTACCCTTGGGTGGCTCACTAAAGGTCTGCTACCTTGGAGTGACACCTTCCTCTTCCAAACCTTCATCTAAAGTGTGCCCTCACGTAGCTCACAACAGGACTGCACGGTTGGAATGGCACCTTCCCCTTCTAAGTTCTACCCTCGCGTGGCTCACAAAAGGTCTGCACCGTTGGAATGGCACCTTCCTCCAACTTGCAGGTGCACAAGCGAGGCGATTCCGCTTGCACAAGCGAGTATCGGTTGTATGTCAAGTTGCGAGGTCAGAGTATGTTAACTTACCACAACATGAATTTACACACTGAGCAAAGGGAATTGATAGACTTAAGCAGGCAACGATTCCAAAGTCCATTTATTTTTGTCACAGCATGAGCACCACAAAGGTATGATTCTTGTTAATCTACA